TTCGTATTTATGATGGTTTCAGTGTCCTGGGGTCATATAATCACCTTGTGTGACCTTTTGACAAAATATAAAAAATTTAATCAAGCCCCCCGCCCCATCAATGGTGTCCCTCTTTACCAATCTGAAAATCTGGTCACCTTACTCTTGGCTTCTGTAAAGTTTGTCTGCTCATTGCTTTATTAACAGCTCTTTCCATTAAGGTCATTCTCTTCATTATGCACAACCAGTTGCTAAATTAAATTGCAGTCACCTCAGACATTAATAAGTGATATTTAGAATTTCATGGGCCCAGGATTCATGGCCCTAATCTAAATTCAATTTCCTACTTGAGCATCATAATAGCACCTCTTTTTTTAGTCAACCACAGGGAAATCCCTTTTCTAAAATATCATGGGGGTGGGATGGAGGGGCGAATGGTACCACCATTGCAATCATGTAAAGTGTACTTTGATCTACTTTGTCCTGGCTCAAATATATAAACAAGTCATTGTGTGATGACTTCATGATGCGCATATCATCATTTGGTGCCATTGTGGCTTGTCATGCATGCTATGTTGATTTTACTGATTAATTGGCCCAGAAACCAACCAACCAAACAAGAAGTGGTTCACTACTTCACCATGGCTATCAACTATCCCATCTTCTGGTTTCACTTTTAGTGATATAAAAGAGACTGGTGTCCTCTACAGGCTACAATTCACTATTATCACTGTTGAATCAATGAACAAATCTGTCTCCAAGATAAATACATTTTGCTTTATACAATTGGAGAGATTGTATATATTCTGCAAAGCCCAGTAGCAATTGAAGCAGGGATTTCCAATAAACTTTTTTTTCTGTCCCAAGCATATTAAGATTTGAATAATGAAGGGAGAAGGAATTGATTTGTAGCTTTCCTTCCTATTGTGTACTTTTGTGTGATTCCACTAGTACAAGACAAATAGTATTATTACCAATTAAACAAGCACGATACTTGGGATGATGACATAACCCATCATATGTTAGATGATGACATAACCCATCATATAACATGGTGACATATGTTATATGTCACACAGTTTTTCCTGAAAATATTGGAAGGGAAAACTAATTTCTAGGTTCCTTTCAAATAAATTCCTGAAATTAAAATATTTCACAATGAAGCAGGGACATTAAAGGGAATGAACATGTAATTGGTGTCTTTGCCAATGGCCCTTAAGTAAATTTGATTATGGCCTAGCAATTAAATAAATTTAAAATAAAATCCACACCTGAGATAAACTTGAGCTTTTGTAATTTGTAATATTTGCTGTCATCAAGAATTTTTATAAATTAAGTTGTTGCACCTGTTTCAAATTCTTTCAACTACTTTAGCTTCACCTATAGCCTTTATTTCACATAAATATCTCACCCTGGTAATTATTGAAACATGTTGTCTTTGTTTAAGCTCTATTGGATGTCTAACAGCGCACGTACATTGTATGGTTGTAAGAATGCTATAATAGGCTTCTTAGAAAAGATATAAAACAATTCAGGAAATGTCCTTCATCTGGGCTCTGCTAAAGCTGTGTATATTGTGTATTGACTGATTATTGTAATTAGAATTACATGATGTTGCTATGAATACTGTTCTAAGAAACAACTTGGGTTGATGCTAGAGCATACTCCATCTGACCTCCAAGCTGAATATTTTAAAAGCATCCAAAGAGCAGAAGAAAATAGAGGACGGTGACTAGAGGAAGATTGTTACCCTGGTGCAGGGCTGTCAAACTCCCTGCCCATGGGCTGGATGTGTCATGGCTGGCCAAACCCATGCCTGGTTTAGTGAAGAGGGAAAAGGTCCTGATAGATCAT